ACATCTGTTAATCCAATATTAAATATATTGCCTGACACTTGGGACTATATCTTTTTATTTGGACACAAGGGATGGGCATTATAATGACAACACCTAATACCCATATGACAATCTATTGATCAAGGCATCAGAGAAGGGAATCATACAACACGAGATGTATTGGACATAAAAGCTATTTTCAGGTCCACGACATGCTTAACAGCCCTTCACTATTTTCCTCGTGCTTTTTAATTTGTGAAAGTTTGCAAGCCTTTGGAACTTTGTTTTGGGAAGTATAAAGTTGATGTGGAAGGTTTGAAGACTTCTAAGCTTTTATTTTGGGAAATCTGAAATTATCACATATTGGTTTTGTGAAATTCAGAAGCTTTGCAAGATTAGTTTTGGTAAATCTAAAATTGTTATAGCATAGTTCATGATGTTTGTCTAGAAGAATTTGGACAAGCTTAATCATACTGCTGCTTGTTCTGAATACTTTGGTTTTCTTAGAATTAGAGGCTATGATCTAGTGTTAATAAAATCTGACACAAAATAGTTAGTGCATTATTTTGATCACCATTTTGGTAGCTACGGAGATGGCAAATGCAATTGTAACAACGAGGATGACTTTATTCCTTGCTACAGTTGTTTCATTTTGTTGGGCACAAGAAATATCCTTCATACTTAGGGTTGCATGATTAAAATGACCCCATAAAAATAGTTAGCGGACTCTCTCGACACTTCACTTGAATGTTCAATGATGAAAATTTTACTTGAAAATACAAACAAATGTCTTGGCTAATCACCCTTGCACATATATGCATGTAGTGAATTATTTTGTATGGGTTAATCCCCGTGTTACACTTATCTAATTCATATCTTCGAACTAAATAAACTCTTATGCCAACCTTATGCTACGCCTTTGTGAGATAAACTCGTTGGTTGTGGAAGTACCGGGTTGTTAAAAGAGTCACTTTAAAGCAGATGAAACAAACGACATCAAACTTTGCGTCGGTGAACAACCTCTCTCTTCTATGTGGCTGTACATGGAGCATTGAGCGGGGCTATAGGTATGAGCAATGATAAAAAGGCATTTAGGTGTGAGGAGTATTGTACATTCTGATCCGAGTGTCAAGGATTGACATTACTGTTCCTAACATCTAGTAAAAAGTTACTTCTTGCTCTCATAGTTAGCTGGTAGTCATTTTTCAAAACATGTATATATAATATCAAAATATACTTTCGAATGAAACTCATATTTTGCTTGTCAAAATGTTTACAAACTCGAGTTATCTTTGCATGACAAAAGAAAGCTCAGCATTTTAAAACATTACTTGTGCCAAATTTATATGTCAGTCACATAGGTCGGGTTGGGGAATGCCCTCCCATCAGTGTTTGTTAGATAGCCTTGTACCTTATGTTGGGCCTCAAATACATGGTGTCGATGATTGGTTGCAGTCTCTCTCGAAAAAGTACAATTCTGAGCTCCCCCTTACCAAAGCTCTTATACCCCGCTCTGATCTTCCATATATATGCCACCCGATTCTTTTACACATGTGCTAGTGTCTTTTAGCTCTCTTTGGTTTGTTAGCATATTTATATGTTTTATATGTGATAATAACCCTTGCAGCAGCAGTAGATATGTCAGGTACGTAAGTTCATTTTTAATTTATTGTATTTTATTGCACTTCTTTACTGCACTTTTATTGTTCTTGCATTTAAGCATTACTTACAGACCTGCAAAGTCGTATAGGATAGACAACAATAGGACATATCTTAAGAGAAAGCCAGCAGCAGGCCACTGACCAAACTATTTGCATGTACACCTCAAAACATAAACCCTAAACATGAAGTTGCTATTGTACAAAGCTTGAGGCAAGCTTTGTGGACAACACGATGAGGAGCCCGGAGCAAGATGCGAGTGGTGGAGGATGATTTTAGAGGATGATCAAGACTCAACATGAAGTGGATTGACTTTGGTAAAACATAAAATGTACAAAAGAACATCTTCGAGAAAGCAAACAGGGTCAACTTCAACAAAACTTTCCTTATAATATGACAACGAATCCATAGGACTTTTAGGTAGTTTGCCTAGTGTGGCATAAATTCTCACATTATTTTAGGTTTTTGCATAATCATGTTGTTCATCATAAGTCCTAGCTCTCTTAGGATTCTGATATTTTCATTCGGTGTGGCATAAATCATTTTATCTTCCTAGACTATTTGCACAATCAGATATCGTGCGAGTGTAAGCCCTAAATAATAAAATTGGCAAGAATAAATGTTAAATAACTTCATCTATAAGACATAAAACCAAACAGTAGGATAATTGGGAAGTCTGGAAAGTCACCGAGGTCTGCCTTGAAATCCGTGACATCCCCTACCTTTTCACTCATTTATACTTCTAAAATAATTGCTCCTAGTTTGAGCCATTCCTATTTGATTTTTTTGCATCCATCCTTGAAAACTTAAACTTCGAAATTCTTGAAAATAGAACTACTGATCTTAATAGAGAATCTTCTTAGGTGATTTTTATTGCCTAAGATGTAATTAATTGTAGGGGATTGCCTCTATAGGGAACTATGAACCCAGGTAAAATAAACCCTATATAATCGTTATATTTGATAGGGGAACTTTTCGGTCATACATAAAAATTTTTGCAGACCAAACAGATGCATAAGTTATTTATTTTATATAATCAATCCAGTTATCAAGTGATATGCTTACCTTTCAAGGTGATCTGTCAGTTGTTGTATTGTACTCGGTTACTTAAACTAGTAAGTATATGAGATCTATCCAGTCTCATTATTTCTCAAAATGAAAACACTATTTTCAAAATTAAAATTACATATATGTATTAAATTAAATTTAAATCATTTTCAAAATTTTGGCCAACAAAGAAGCGCATAGTGCCCTCTGGAGAAGGTCAATCCTGGAATGTTATTGATAATAGAGAATATCAATTCCTCATAGGATAATTCGACGAGCTCCCAAAGACAAAGGGATTCATTCCTGAGATGAGCATGCTCCTCGCATCAAAGGTCTCAAAGACATTCTCTCATTCTTCTTATGAAAATTAAATCGAAGAGTTAAGAGAATTGAGGAACTCAATGTATACGCAAATACGGGTATGTGTACGAATTTTTTTGCACATTGAATCAAGCGCACTTGTTGAAGAGGTTAAATCTAGTGCACCTCTCGAAATAGTTAAATCGAACCAACCTATCAAAATGGTTTAGCAAACCCACCTATCGATTTGATTATATTCATTCCCTTCAAAGGGACAACCCAACCCACATGTGCGATGGTGGTTATCAAAGGAAACCATCATGACTAATAAGAAAATTTGTTAATCCATTGTTAAATATGTCACCCAATTCTTGGGACTCAGTCTATTCAACTAGACACCAAAGATGGGTATCTCACCAATACTAACTGCTAGCCACATCAGAGTCTTTTCATCAAGACATCAGATAAAGAGTCATACAATATGAGATGTATTACATCAATTATTTTATTTCTTTTCTCTCTTGTGCATAAAAGAGAAGAAAAAATGAGAGAAGAGGTACATCGTTTTTTTTCTCTCTCTCTCTCACTTTCTCTCACCCCAAGTGAAATCTTGTGATTCAGGGAACCTTCGGGGAGATGTGCTCCTGCAACTTATCGGAGATAAGAATTTAATATAATTCTTAAGGTTCCCTCTTAAGACTCTTATCCATCTCTCTCTCTCTCTCTCATTCTTTCTCCACAACGTAAGGTCTTTTATCAAGTTAAACTAGTAAGTATATGAGATCTATCCAGTCTCATTATTTCTCAAAATGAAAACACTATTTTCAAAATTAAAATTACATATATGTATTAAATTAAATTTAAATCATTTTCAAAATTTTGGCCAACAAAGAAGCGCATAGTGCCCTCTGGAGAAGGTCAATCCTGGAATGTTATTGATAATAGAGAATATCAATTCCTCATAGGATAATTCGACGAGCTCCCAAAGACAAAGGGATTCATTCCTGAGATGAGCATGCTCCTCGCATCAAAGGTCTCAAAGACATTCTCTCATTCTTCTTATGAAAATTAAATCGAAGAGTTAAGAGAATTGAGGAACTCAATGTATACGCAAATACGGGTATGTGTACGAATTTTTTTGCACATTGAATCAAGCGCACTTGTTGAAGAGGTTAAATCTAGTGCACCTCTCGAAATAGTTAAATCGAACCAACCTATCAAAATGGTTTAGCAAACCCACCTATCGATTTGATTATATTCATTCCCTTCAAAGGGACAACCCAACCCACATGTGCGATGGTGGTTATCAAAGGAAACCATCATGACTAATAAGAAAATTTGTTAATCCATTGTTAAATATGTCACCCAATTCTTGGGACTCAGTCTATTCAACTAGACCCCAAAGATAGGTATCTCACCAATACTAACTGCTAGCCACATCAGAGTCTTTTCATCAAGACATCAGATAAAGAGTCATACAATATGAGATGTATTACATCAATTATTTTATTTCTTTTCTCTCTTGTGCATAAAAGAGAAGAAAAAATGAGAGAAGAGGTACATCGTTTTTTTTCTCTCTCTCTCTCACTTTCTCTCACCCCACGTGAAATCTTGTGATTCAGGGAACCTTCGGGGAGATGTGCTCCTGCAACTTATCGGAGATAAGAATTTAATATAATTCTTAAGGTTCCCTCTTAAGACTCTTATCCATCTCTCTCTCTCTCTCTCATTCTTTCTCCACAACGTAAAGTCTTTTATCAAGTTAAATGCACTCACAGATAATAAAGGACCCTACATCTTAAAAGGATTCAACAATTACAATGATATAATAATTAATGAGATAAATTCAATGATTTGGATGAAATGTTCAAATAAGTTGTCAGCACAATGATTCATTATGATGAGATGTATGAAAGTTTCCTACCTTTGTATTGCATCTGTTAGGATGGACAAGTCATATAGGGAGGCTTCCTCATCAAAAAAGTCATCCGCAATTGTAATCAAGACTGCACTTTTCACCGCTGCTTTTCTTGAATCTGTGTTAAGTGGGAGGCAAGTTGAAGAAGCCATGGCAAAATAAATATATGATGTCTTCTCCCTCCCAAATCCTATTGTGGAGAGGCCAGCATCCTTCGACCACCTTTAAATACAAATTAAAAGAGTATATAATTAAAATAAATAGATATAGGAATTTATTTTATTATCAAACATTGAAAAGAATGGCATGTTTTTTCTATTTTTTGCTAAAATAAATTACATGTGCAATTCGTTAAGCTCCTTTTTGTATATTGATTGTCTCATCATAAAATTATCAATGGCAAGTTGGAGTAGGCCATCATTTTGTACGATTCTGCAATTCATTCAGTCATCATAACGCAAATTTGCATATATCCAATTATCTATTTTAAATTCCTATAACATTTACTTACTTGTAATAAGGAGCATTCTTTCCAATCCAAAACAAATAGATCCCTCCTCTTTCAATGTAAAACCTATGCTCCAAAAAATCCATTCGTGCTAGCCATTTAATCTCCAAATCATGCACAATCTGCTCAAGCGTAGGTTGGTTACTTTCTAACAATAGAGATCATAATAAAGACATACATAAATTGGTTCACCTCTTGTTCAAATTTTATTGATGTAGTTGGGATATTGGATTCATGTTTTATTTTTTTGCTCAAGATTCCCATCTGCAAGATGTGTCGAGCGAACACTCCAGCATTCTCAAGTTCATCATCATTTGCAAATGCAATATGTGATGCTTTGTAAATGCTAAACATGGGGCCTAAAAAGAAGGCATAATTATCTTTTATATGTGATAACATTTCCTTATCATCAATGAACCAACAAAATCTTCCTGTACAAAGCAATATAGATTAGCTTGCGCTTCACCGATCGAATACAATTACTAGAAAAATAAAATTATGATGCATAATTATCCCAAGATGAATAAATATCTGTTTCTTAATGTTTTATAAATATCCAAATAATAATTCACTTATCATGTACTCCTTACTTGGAGAAACTTGATAACCATGCATCCTTAAGAGCCGAAAAGCTAAAGAGTCTTTATAAATTTGGAATGCAATATCTTCTTTTTTGGGGATTTGTAGTTCTTCTGCAATCCATTTTCTATGAAGAAAGTGCAAATATCAAAGCAAAGCAAAAGCACAATCATTAAATTGTTAGGTATATAGAAGAAATCATGAACTCTTTTTTAGGTATACTTATTGTTGATGTAGCTAACAATACATCTTTGATTCTAAATATTTAATGAACATTGATAAGATAATGAAATTTAGATCATAGTTTAATTGAATAATAATTGTTATTATAACAATAATAATAAGTTAAAAGCATACCGGTATTGGTGATCCATCACATGCCTAATGTCTTCTCTAAAATGCTCTGCACATCCAAGCCTCTCCAAGTGATCAACCACCCAAATTTTATTCACATCTTTATCCACAAAGTATATGGGAGGAACTGGTCCACATATGAGAAGAAAATATATATATATAAATTTTATGCTTGCTTATAATTAATTCACTTATCATTCCTAAATATGTCTTTATCGTCAACTTTAATTAAAATTAATATTAATTTTAATTTGTATATATAAATTTTATGCTTGCTTATAATTAATTCATACTTATCATTCTTAAATATGTCTTTATCATCAACTTTAATTAAAATTAATATTAATTTTAATTTGAGAGATTACTATTTAAAGTTCTTGAAAATGATGGTCTTAATTTCGCAAAGTAAAATTTAAGTAAATAAAATAACTATTTTTTTCTTAAAAGTATGTTTTATTTTTTAATCACTCAAATGAATTTAAAATGTTTTATACTTGAGAATTCAAGTAAATACTTAAAAATAGGGGTGGCTAAATTAAAAAAATTTAGGAGTGATGAGTATTTAAGATTAAATCTTTCATCATTGCTATTATTAAATTAAAAATATAATTAATATTATATTATCATTACATATTTAAATTTAAGAGCCAAAATTTTCAATGTATTATATGATATTAAAGAGCTTTGTAAAAATTTAAAAATGGCAAATGCCTTTACTAGCTACCATCAGTTCCACCACTGATTTTATGGACACACATGCAAAAACATAGTGTAATTTATATATATTTATAATGAAAATTTGTATACAAACTTCATAATTCCTATGTATTTACATATCTATCCCCCATACTTCAATTTTTACATAAGTCTGACATTTAGTTTCTAGGCATGACTAGATGAAAATCACTTTTTAAAAGTTATAATGGTGATATATGAAAGAGTTGGGTGGTATAAATATAAAAAGTAAAGTTTGGATGTTAGATGTATAAATACATAGGAATTGGACGGTATGTATGTAAATGCCCCTATTTAGTAATATATGTCATAAATTAAAGGAATAATTATCTATTGATTATTCTATACCCGTTCAAATTAAATTGTTTATTTTATACTTATCCACTGATTGCAGCAATAATAAATTTTTAACAGTATAAATGCGAGATGCATGAACATTACCTCCTTGTTGGCAACCCACAAGTAAATTTTGAAGATAAGTTATGTAAGTTTGGTCTCCACTAATCATGAAAGCACATGCGGTCGCCGACGGTGATCTAAAGAGTTCTGAGCCACCATTTTCAAAAGCAATCTCCCTCATCACAATTCGCTCCACCATCCCATCCTCTTTTGTCCCTTTAAACCTTGTTGCATTCACTTCAAATTCATTAAAAAGTTCATTTTTGATCTGTTGTGCCGCAGCCGGAGATACAATCAAGCCTTTGGCCTTTGCAAGCTCAAGCATCAAAAAACACATATAAAAAAGCCTGGCATCATCACCACCCTCTTTTCTCTTTCTCATCTTCCTCAACTCCATCTCCATGTTGTCTCTGAGAAATTCAAGTCCTAAAGAGCACAGTATAAATTTACTCATTGAAAATCCATAAAATATAAAAAATACAATTGTTATATGTGATTATTATACCTTTAATTATTTTATGAGTGAAAGAATCAATCTCCCAAATCTTGAGAGCAATTAAGCAGGCAAGGGTAGCCATAAGATCAACAGAGCTCCATTGATGCTTATAATTGTTAAGCTCCTGGTGATCGAGATCAAGACCACATTGCTCATGCATATGATCATCAAACCAAAAACCGAGTGCATCCTGGCTACGCAGAACCCAGTCCAAACACTTGGGGAACATGGGGCGAGTCGGGTCATTTGGGTCAGGCACCATGGCAACCCAGGCTGTCTCATATGCAGAGACAGGCAAAAGGGCAAAGAAGCCAGCCGAGGAAGAGAAGAGTTCTCTTCTCATTCTCTCGACCACTTGTGAAAGCTCCATCAGTATTCAGGTAATTATTTCATAGCTTCTCAATATATCAGAGTATTCTGAGTTAAAGGACATCTGATACAAGCATTCCACAACACTAGTTTTATATTGCTACATGCTGCTCCCACAATATCTCAAAGAGAATCTAGTTTCCTATGATTTCGTTTAATACATGAAGGAAAAAAACAAATAAAGCCGGCTATCTTACTATTTTTAATCCAATAACGGTAAATCCTCGGCACAAGCAGCAGCACCGGGCGACCGCTGCATAGAAATATGAGTGTTTGGTAGGTAGAGCTGGAAGAGGACAATTGACTAATTTTTTTTAATGAAGAGGAAAATCAACTCTCAGTTGGCATAAAGGGTATCGGTAGTTGGAGAACAATTCTTTAATCAAATGGTAATTGTTGAAAAAATTAGGGCGAAGAAAAACTAGAACGACACAAATTCAGATTTTAATCAAATGGTAATTGTTGAAAAAATTAGGGCGGAGAAAAATTAGAACGACACAAATCCAGATAAACACAGAGATTTAACGAGATTCGGCAAAGATGTCTACGTCCTTGGGAGCAGAGCGGCGACCTCCTTTTCAATATTGAGACAAGAGTACAAAATACAATATTCAGCTCTCTCAAAAACCTAGGATTACAAACAGGTTTATTTATAATCCTAGAGTACATTATATAATTCTCAAATTACCCATGTACCGTATAGCCCCAACCCACATAACGTAACTTCCCGATTTGGACAGATTCTTTCGCTTCGCTTCGTTCCAGCATTTGTCCTTATATGGTATATGAGTCATACCATAACAAATCTCCACCTTAGCGAATATTTAGCCCCTTAGGAGAAAAGATACTTGGGAGTTACACTTGCACCAATGTGGGTTGGGCCATCATGCTTCTGTTGCGTCCTCGTTGATCTCAACCCACTAAATTCCAAGAGACACACCCCTTTAATCCCAAGAGACGTCTTTTCATTCCAAGAGACTTCAAATTCTGGTATTATGAGTCATACCTAACAATTCTCCACCTTGGCGAATATTCAGCTCTTTAGGAGAAAATCTCCACATTGCGAATATCCAATCCCTTAGGAGAAAAATCTCCACCTTGCGAGCCATTTAGGAGAAAATCTCCACCTTACAAATATCCAGCCCCTTAGGAGAATATCTCCACCTTACGAACATCTTGCCCTTTAGGAGAAAATCTCCACCTTGCGAATATCCAGCCCCTTAGGAGAAAAATATCATGGAATTTCTTATGCACAAATGTTGGTTGAAAAAATTTTCCTGTTCGCGCCAGCACCTCAGCTAAACTGTTGTCCCGTGAGCGAAACCCTTCGCGAAATACCTCCACGAAACCACTGTTCACGAATAATCGAGTCTGCTCGCTCGCCAGCACCCTACCGAACTCCACATGTCACAACTCCTCCTGCGACGAACTTACAAACTCTGCTGGTCGAACAGCACCAAACACCTCTGTTCGCAAACGCTCCTGTTCACGGTAACTGCACATGAACTCCTGTTCGCTAACTCCACCTCGCATAATGCCGCGAAGGTTCATGCCCCCCCCCCCCCGCCTCTACCGAGAACTCCCCGAAGCATAACTTGCCGAACTGCCGCAACCCTTTATCCGAACTGCTTCACATCTGTTCGTTCCTGCGAGTTCGTCTGCCTTGCGAACAATCTGTAAAATTTTATATTCTTCTGCGCCGTAGCCAAGATTTCTTTTCTCCAGCCAATGAAATTCAAAAAATATTTCCAAATTTTCTTCTCCGCAAGATTCCTTGTTGAGCCAGAAATTGTACTTTGATTCTGCCACAAATTCTTTTAAATAATCCCTTAATTAAGTTTTCTAAATTAGGTTACTTTTAATTAAGTTTCAAGAAAAAAT